GCAGTATTGTCTGCCAAAAGGTAAGGGCTGTTAGGGGACATGCCAGGAGCACCTGGACACGTATTCATTTAGAGCCGGGGCACTGTCCCATAAGGAACTGATTCCACGGGACAGGGACACACATGAAAGCTGTCTGGAGATCAAACAGCTAACTGACTTGTGTTGTGGCGCTTTGAACGACAACCAGTAGCTGGCATCACTATAGAAGGAAAGATAATCTAGGATTTTCCTGTTTCATGAGAAGATGTGTGATGTTGGCTCTCCACTTTTGTGAGCTGGCAGCAGTGAGGCTCACTGCATTGTCCATTACAGTGCGTCTTCAGTCCTGAAAGTAGAGACTTCCGTGTTAGTGCAGAGGGTGCTCGAGGTAGAGAGGGGAAGTGGCCAGGAGGGAAGAGCCAGGCAGATGTACAGCAGCGGTCCTAGGCCTGTGTGCCTAGCGCCACTAACAGAATCTGCTGGCTTCCCCCCTTCATTTGACTGACTTTCATTGTTTTGTAAGACCCCATCTCTGTATAACATGACTGAGTCATAGCCATGAGGGGAGAATTATGCCCTCCACGTTTATTTCCTGACCTTTGAACTGTTGCAGCTTGGGCTCTTACCTCATCTGTAGTTAGAAAGTATTACGTGGACACACGGCCTCCCTCTGTGTGCAGTATGCTCGAGACACAAATTGCTGTTGAAGGATATGTACCACATATTGATGACTAACCCTCCCACCCACCCACGGGAATGATAGATCATCTTAAAACTGATCCATGAATATGGACAACAGAAATTCATTTTCTATCTTTCAGGTTTTTTCTCCATTAAAACACTTATTAAATAGGAAGTTCTTAATCACCATTCATATATACTTATATATACACACATATATACAAATCCACAAATATGTATATGTCCATATTTGGATTATATGATGTGTGTGAGTATACATGTATACATCTTTGCATGTGTGAGCGTGCAGTTGTGTGTGCACATGCATGTAAAGGTCCAAAGTTGACACAGGGCTTCTGCCTCAGTCACTCTCCACTTTATTTATTGAGAGAGAATTTCTCACTGAACTCTGCGCTTGCGGATTCCAGCTAGTGGCCGCATTGCCTTGGGGCTCTCCTGTCTCTGCCTCTTGAGTAGATGCAAGTGTTACAAATAGCTGCCGTACCTGTCGGGATGCAAACTCCAGTCCTCACACTTGTGTGGCAAGGGTTTTGCCCCCTGAGCCGTCCCTTGAGCCCACCATTGCGTTTTAAACGTAAAGATGTACAGTGCAGCCAAAGGACAATCCAGAGTGCTTCTTTGTGTGTGGTATAGGAAAGTGTGTGTGTGTGTGTGTGTGTGTGTGTGTGTGTGTGTGTGTGTGTGACTTTATTGTGCACTCATGTGGTGTTTGGCCATAAAAGCAGTTCAGCTTGGACTTGGAGGGATCTGGTGAGAGAGAAGTCTAGTTCTGCTAGGTAGAAACCTGCCACATGCCCCTTTAGGGATTGTGTGTCATCAGTGAGCACAGCCATGAGAGATGGTGTGCGTGTCTTTCTCCTCACACCATACTTTAAATGTAAATCCTGCAGAATAATTAAGGCTTCTCTTCTTCTCCTGAATTAGATTTATAATTTAGCCGAAAGCCAGTTTCTCCAACCAATGGGGGGACAGGTTTCCTCTCTTTCCTATTCCAGTGTTAGAGCTGTTTATTAGTCTGTTACTTCCTGATAGCACTAATTGGCTGAGTCTAGTGAACAGTCTGCGGAAGCAGATGATGTTCACACCTTCTCACCTGCATTAGAAGTGAGCCAGGCCTCTTTACGTACAGGTCGTCTTCCATAGTTCTGGTGTAAGAAGTCTTAATCATTGACACTGGAAAGTTGAGAAAACACAAAGGGGAAAAGGAATAATAAGGACGTGACTGCATTAAGCAAGCAGTAAAACCATGTGAACTCAAATGTAAGGAATTGTGAGAGTTGCATATCATGTCCTAATTGTGAAATCTATGCAAATTCACTTAACACTTTCTCAACACTGTCCCTGCCTGGAGTTGATTACTCATACAAACCAAATTTTTGTCTTGGAGTCAATTACTTTCCCTGCTTTTCTTAATTTGTTTTCTAAATTATCTAGTAAACAGAAAATCCGGCCCACCCCAACCAAATAGATTCTGTATGGCTTTGGTAGAACTTTCCGGGCCTTCATCACATCACCTTCTCTTGGTGCTAAGAGCTCCCGATTCCAGAATCATTTATTCCTTTTATTAGCTGTATGTGAGATATTTTCTGTGGATCGGCTACAGAACTAGCTAATTTTCACTGTGGGGAATGAACTAATTATACTATCTTTGAGAACATTCTAGGTGCCAGACTCTCCAGAGCACCTGTATAAAGTGTTATAATCTCTATTTTCAGATAAAGAAACCAAGGTTTGAATTTAAATAGCATGCCCATGGTTAGATTGCCAAAGGCAGAGCCGTATTTAGTATTTAGTCTCTGACTTCTAACCCCTACACCTATACCTTTGGACAGAAAGCCAGGTGTCACCAGCCCCATGCTGTGTGCACAGGAAGGACCGCCCTTCCATGGTGAGAGCTTTGAAATGTTACTGTATAAATGATCGACGGGGAAGCACAGAATTGCAGATTCTCATGGTACCCTCAGGGATTCCAGGAACTTGAACTTTTAACAAATGCACTAAAAAATTCTGAAATAAATTTTTACTTAATTAGTTTCTAAAGGTATAAATATCATTTCCATCTTCAATTCATTCATCCATTTTATAGTAGCTGGGAGAATTTTCATAATAACCTTTTCTTGATTAACAAAAATGATTTATCTTACTACTGGCTGGTCATGGTTTTGATAGTTTTATGTCCATTCACTTATTTTTAAGTATTTCTCTGTCCACTATCTTCATCCCAAGAAAACAAAAGAGCTGAATTTGCTTTCTTGAGATTAGTTTGAGAGCTCATTCACTGACACACCTCTCTCTCTGTCTGTCTTTGTCTCTCTGTCTCTGTCTGTGTGTGTGTGTGTGTGTGTGTGTTTATGTATGGATGTGTGTGAAGTTAATTCAAGTATTGTTAAAGTTGTTCTCACTTTAATGGGATCACAACTTAAGATTGACACCTGTCAGTGTCTTGAAGAACCTTTCTTTGGACTCTGTTAGCCCTAAGTATTGATTTTAATTAATAGAGTCAAATTCTTGAAGAGGTAGGCTGTTCTGAAATCAGCAATAGGTTACTTTGGGAATCTACGTCTCAGAAGTAATAGTCAATTGTAGTAGTAAAATATGTGGAACAAGACTTTTAAGATACCATGTTTAGTTTATGGAATGAGATGTTTCATAAGTTGGTCCATTTTTTATTGAAAAGGGCTGTTGGTATTGCCAAAGTGCTGCCACATTTGGTACATTTTAAAAAGATCTGCTTCAGGTGAGTTTTGCAATCAATGGGATGATCTCATTTATCTCCTTTGAATGCTCTTGTCAGGGTCAACTGCAGTAGCCCCAGAGCTGCCCACCTGGTGATTGCAAAACCCACCTCTAGGAGGGTTTCAGAGTCCGATTGTAGTCAAGTGGAGGGTGTTTGTGATCTTTCTTAAGTGTTCCCTTTTTGAAAGTGAAACACCTTCAGAGCATTCATTCTTTATTATTTGTTTTGATTTTTTAAAAAATTCCAGCATGTGGTTCTGATATTCTCCATGTAACAACTCAACTTTTTTTTTCCCCTAAGACAATGTGTTCAGGTCAGAAGAGTACCTTGTGGTCTGTATTGAATGATTAGTTCTTTGGCCCTGAATTTCTCCCCAATCCGTGCATTAATGTTACTCATATAAAGTATTCTACTTGTTGCAGACTATTCTAATATCAGGGACTATCAAAGGCTGCAATCCTTTTCAGTCTACCGGTTTTGCAGTGTAAAGAGTGATTTTAAAGAGGCAGCTCTCCAGATGCATCATGTGCTCCACAGGTCCCCTTCTCAGGAGTGTCAGGAATTGATGAGTGGATTCACTCTGGAGCTTCAGAGTGAAGCTCTATCTTAAAAGTCTTCTGTTGGATCAGAGCAGAAATTATGCAATCTGTAATTCTCGAGCCTAAAGTTATGGGTGATAAAACTGTGAAATTCAGTTTTCCTATAATTAACCTCCTGTTTTTCTCCTGCTTTTCATGTTTATTAGTCTTCTTCTAGCCATTTCATCCTTCTAATATGAGTTTATCTCAACTTCCCTTTACTCTGAGTCATCGATGATCAAAAACATTTTCTCTCTGTCTCCTATCTTTTCATTCATCTCTCCCTTTAAAATGTCTTCTCCCCTGTAGCCTCATGAATATGCCATGCTATGCCAACTTTCTTTGTCTAATTAGGAGAGAGATTCTTGACTTTAGAGATTGTCATTCTCTCTGCGTACCAGTCTAAACAATTAAAATCAGCTGTCTTTGCCTACTAATGAGTCCTCAAATTGGATGGCGGGAATTGAAATAGAATGTTTGCCTCTTCACAACCCTGCATTCTGAGACGGCTCTTCCTCCACAACTTCCAAGCCCTCGGCCTATGATTCATTTGTGATTCAGCCTAGTTTCTGAACTGGTATTTCCTTATGTGACAGTCCCTTACAGTCATTCCTAGTTTAAATTTTGTGTGTGTGTGAGTCAAGCATGTGCCAGAAAATGTATTTAAATAGCTCCATTTCATAAAATATATAATACCTTGTAGTTATTTTATATCTGTCTTAGCGTGATTTGTGTGTGTGTTTGTTTATGTGCAAGTACACATATTTGTGTTGTTTTTGTTTATTTGAGATACTGTTTTCTTGGCCTGAAATATACCAAGTAGTCTAGTCTATATAGCCAAAAAGCAGGAGGGATCCACTTGTCCCTCCATGCGATAGAATTGTTAGGACATGGCCCTCTGCCCAGCTGTTTTACTGTGGGTTCTGGGGCTCTGCCCCAGGCCCTCATGCTTGCAGGGCAGGCTGTCACCCACAGCCCCCATTTCATGTTGGACATCACCAGTATTTACCTCCCTTCTTACTTAGAAATAGTATATTGAAGGAAACGTCTTAAAGGCATACTTACTCAGATCTTAGTTTTCTTGCTTTTAGTGTTGGCAATATAAAAGTGATAACCACCTCACTCATTTTCAGAGATATGCCAGTAACAAGTTACCTAGAAACATTCAAAATAATGAGAATTTAAATAGAGTTCACATGTATATATATGAATATACATTATATGTATATATATTATGAGAAATACAAAACAATTTAGACTTTGGTCATTAGTTAAAATATAATATATATGATTAAGTATCAGAATAATTGATGAACGCAGTCAATGCTCTATTATTTCAGAAGAAAGAGAAATCAATATGAATTAATTATTTTGAAAAGCTTCATTGAAGATCTGGTGTTTGCACTTGTCCTTGAAAGATGGGCACAATTTCAATATATTTGCCACACCAAAGACCTCTATTGATTTAATTTAGATGCTGAAAAAGAAGCCAAGGGTTCTTTTCAGGTTTCATGCAAGGATAACCTGGGGGATGAGGTGTCACTGTGGGAGAAAGATGTCATGCAAGCCAGCCTGAGAGAGGAAGTAGAGAACCTGGTGTGGTCTTTTTGAAATGTGGTGTTTGTCACTGTTCCCGTGGTGGGAGCTGGGAGGGAGGAGTCTAAAGATGAGGCAGACGAAAGCCTCCTGCACTAGCCCACCTGTATTCAGAACATCGGACAGTTATACTCTGTGCGTAAAGACGGGTCACATGAGTAAGGTTCTCATGCGTTCAAGCTGTCTACAATCACAAGGCCAAGACACATGTGGCAAAAACATTTCTTATCACAGAGGTACATAAGGGATAGTTTCAGTATTTAATTGAATAACAGCAGCAAGCAATAATGAGTGATCAGAAGTAAATGCACTCCTATCTGCTGTACCCAGGAGGGGCATAAAAATGCATTCCAAGAACATTTCCTTGTTTTTCAAGAAACTGAGGTGACAAGAACCTTGTTTTCTTGGAGTGTTCTCACAAGCACCCAGAATTCTCCTCACAGGGCTCCATTCTTAGACCATGTTCTGGCAATGTCCAACAGGAAGGTAGCGGTACTGAAGACGAGCTGAGACATGAGGGCTAGAAACGAAAACAGAGCTGAACAGACTTGTGGCATCTTAGTTTCCTCCGTAACACAACTAGATGGATACATTTAGACACCCTGCTCACAGCTTCCGTTTTCTCTCATACACAACAGAATCTGTATGGTTGTGTTCTGAGGCTGTGCCTCTGCGACGGAACACTTGCCGGCCTGTGCGGATGCTTCAGCTGAGTTCAGAACCAGGCATGCGGGGGGGGGGGGGGGGGGTGGACTGGACACTCCTTTTGCCTTCAGCAGTCCTTGAAGAAGCCTTTCAGAAGTTTCCCATGCATAAGCAATCCCTGAATTCATGGAGGTTTATCTGGCCTCTGAGAAGGGTGGAATATTTAGTGGGAATAAAGAAGTAGGAGCTGAGCCTTGGGGAACCTTGTAGTTTCGAACTGGAAGAAGACAGAAGAGATGAGTGTGGAATACGGGGTAGATAGAAGCTAGTTTCGAGGAGAGGTAGCCAGCGCGACAGATGCTGAGATGGCCACAGCCGAGCGGGCAGGGAGAGGCACTGAGGTAGCACAGGGTGTGTCACCTGACACCTGTCTAGTGCTGTGTCTCGAGTTGGGTGTCACGGTGTGCGTCTCACTGGAGTGGGGCTTCTCAAATGTATGCGGTCACAAAACGTGTGTGTGTGTGTGTGTGTGTGTGTGTGTGTGTGTGTGTGTGTGTGTTACCTGACAGTGATTGTATTAACAAGTTATCTATTAAACACTGGGACAGCAACATTAACTTCTTTACTATGCTAAGGAAAGCTGGACCCCTCTAAGTTCAATCACATTCACATACACAATGCAGTTCAGCTAGAATTGTGAATATTTTAATATACTGTTTGTGCCGTTTAAATAATTCAAATGATTTTGCTTCCATGTCTGATTACCTATCCTAGGTCTGCATTTTTAAACTATATCATTTAAAATAGAATCACTGCCCCCCTCAAATATATGTATATCTTGAAGTGTTTGGTGATATGTTGAATAACAGTCTTGATTGTGGTCCATAAACTCAACAAGCATTTAAAGACCTTCACTTCACGAGGTCCTCAAAGCCTAACAGCATTTTCTTTTCAATTTAACCCTCTAATCACCAGCGATTAGTCAAAACGCTCATTATTTCTATCACTTCCATACCCAAAGTCTCCATGAAACGAATAAGGTTCATTGCCAAACATGATGCTGAGATAGTTTCAGTAATACCGAGTCCAAGCATGAAAACTGTCAACACCTGAAAGTTATCCACTAGAGTTTCAAGACTATTAGCAAAACAGAGAAAATAATGAATATTTTTTACCATGAAAAGAGATAGAAAGGTGACTGTAGACAAATGTGAAAAGTAGTTGTAAAAATGTAACGTATGATGCAGAGGAACTGTGGGAACCATGGGAGACACAGCCTCTCTCTCCTCCAGCCCCTGGCTGCCTGCTCTGCTTGTGTCGTGCTCAGCACCCTGGACACCCACCTACATCATCCCTCAAGCCTCCCCCTCCCACCCCCACTAAATATCCCTACACATTTCTATATTCAAAATTGGAACATATGTTCATACTTACGTGTATGGGGGTCTGGAGGGGTACGAGACTGTGCCACAAGTCCGTTTGTACAAAACCTACTTTTGTACAAGTATAAGCTGTATCTGTCCTGCTTGCCACTCAGAAACTGTCACCTCCACAACTGAGCTGTGATAAAATGGCCATCTTGTACTGCATCTTCTCCGTACTCTGCTTCTAGTGAACTTTCAGCACCAAACTCTGTTTACTATAACAAGTGGCTGTTTTCTGCACACCATGTCCTGCCTGCAGCATCATTAACTTTTGTCACAATAACATTTTCATTTTTCTTAGAGATAAATTGAGACTTAAAGTTAGTTGCCTGGGTTGCACAGGCTGGTTAGTGAATGGCAGAGTCAGGACTCCTCCGAGCATGTTGACTTAGCTCTCTTGTCCTACTCTTTACTAATTGACGGTCTGGGTGAGAGCACCATGCTCAGAGCTGCGATGAAGTTATGAGCCAGCTCTCTTCCCGACCTCACAGGACTCTGTTTAGCAAGGTCCAGTTACTGCCTATCCTCAGGTGGCCCAACTGACTGAACCACGCCTGCCAGTAGCTGCCAAAAACATGCTTCCTCCAGGTATCCGGAGACATCAGCTAAACACCTGTTTTGCCAGAATCTTCAAGCTGTTTTCTCTCTTACCGCCAGCGTGATGGTTTCTGAATGCATATTCATCACATCTACAAAGTGCTTTAATTATTGTGACCCTACTACTGGTTTAGTCTTACTGGTCGAATCTTACTGTTTCCTTTGGCAGAAGAATTGATAAGGAATATAATATGAAAATTAAGCATTGAAACTGTTTATGCAGCTTCGGTCAGAACCCTCAGGTACATCCAGGCCCTGAGCTGGAGCCAGTAATGAGTCTGACTTTTTTTACAGCACCCTGTGACCTGCCACCTAGCCAGTCCATTATGACAGTGGCAGCAGCAACTGTGCTCCATGCATCACATGGTGACAGCCTTTCCAGTGTGTGCCTGCCATTTATTAGGACATTAATGGCCAGCCATTCTCCAGATGCCCAGCCGTGACTATCACACAAAGAAAACATTAGCTTTCTTGGACGTTGCTATTATAATTCGAAAATTAGTTTTGCCTTCATGGCTGCATCACATTTGGAATCTCTCTTTGATGTTGTTATTAGTTTGCACTCATGGTGCTCATGATAACTGTCACACATTAATCACATCCATCATGTGATTCTTAATTTGCTCTATTATGACAAATGGATTTAGACACAAACTTGCAATTACCTATTTTGAGGTTAATAGCAGAGTTGGGGTTGTAATTGGTTCCCAAATATTCAATTATTTCTCACTCTTCTCTAAAACATGCTCTAAATGAGCAAATTGTATTTTTTACTATCTCTGAAAAATTGTGCCAGATGAGACCATATGAGACACTGGAGCATAGTAATATGCCCATAAGTTTTTACTAGAACAAAATTTTTGTGCATTGTGGGGTAGAATTCTGTCCTTCTCCTTTAACTTACTTATTTACCCCATTTACCTAGGATCAAATTATTCCAAAATAATTTACTTTGTACATTGTCTATGGAGGGTCAGATGGTGACTACTGTATGTTTGGGTTACAGGGCTTACTGATTTATTGCAGCTAACTGTTTTAGTCAGCTGGTTGGGTTTAGTGGCTTAGAGTTCTAATCCTGGCATGTCAGAGACTGTAACAGGAGAATCTTGATTTCAGGGCTACCCTGGGTGAAACAGCAATGTTTAGCTCCCCTAGGCTGCATGTTGGGGGCCTACTCACAAAACGTGCATATACAAATTATTACACTTTTGAGAACTAGTGTGTGTGTGTGTGTGTGTGTGTGTGTGTGTGTGTGTGCGCGCGCGCGCGCGCGCGCATGTATCGACAGGTCACCTAGAACTAGAGTTACAGGTAGTTGTGAGCAGCTAAGCATTGGTGCGAGGAACCAAGTCCTGGTCCTCCACAAAAGCAGGTTGTGATCTTAACTCCTGAGCCATTGCTCAAACCCTAGACTAGAGATTTGTGAAGTTTGCTCTGCTTTGTTTTGATTTGTTTTGTGTTTCTTTGTTTGTTTGTTTCTCTTGGCTCTTGATTTCTGTATTTGAAATGGTGGCTGATCTGCAGTGACCTCAGAAATCCTCTTTTCCTGGGAGCAGCCTGTTCCTACTGGGCCCTTTCTGGCTACAGCCACTTCTGTCTTTGCCTTGGAGAGCTTAGATTAATATTGCACTCCTGCTCCAACCACTGCCTCTTGCACATGAGAATTCTTAGTCATTACTAGGAAAACCTGTCCATTCATTTATTGCAGAACAGCCTTTTCTAACAAATCACAGTAACAGGAAGTTACAGGCACACAGGATACTGGTCAGCATCAACTGGAAAGGGTTTGGAGATGCACTAAAGTTGCCAGAGGCCACTGGCAACTTTAGAAGTTGCATGGCATGGAGATGATGAGTTCACTCTCCCGGCTCTAAGTCTTGTTTCAACTGCCTCTTGCTGGGCTGTGAACAAGGCACTTAACTTGTGTCAATTTCTTTATCAAGAAAACCATGCTTTCTGTTTGATGACATTGTTAGGAGTTTTAAATGAGTAATTTTGTGAAGTTTTTAGCACATTGTTAAGTGCCTAATAAATACTAGCTGCTATTATTTTGACCATTGAGTCTGTCCTATTAGCCAAAATGAAATTCTTTCCCCACAGTTCTTACTGGATGATCCTTCAGTCTAAACTTTAAAAACCTCTCCCTTTAAACAGGCATTGTTAGTGCCTCCCATATTATTCTCCCGGTCAAGACCTCTGAGACTGAGAATTCAAGTCTTCCTCCTAACTAGTGACTTCTGTAATCTGGGTTCAGCCCTCCTCATTAAAACGTAGTTTTCATGGAAAGTGTTTTCAAATATTTGAAATATTTTAGCCTTCTTGTAGCTGGAGGGCTTCTTTCCAGGTTCCCCAAGCCCCGCAGTCCCACAATCCACTTATAAAATAATCACTCAGACGCTTATATCACTTATAAACTGTATGGCCGTGGCAGGCTTCTTGTTAACTGTTCTTTTATCTTAAATTAACCCATTTTTAGAAATCTATACCTTGCCACGTGGCTGGTGGCTTACCAGAGTCTCTACATGTTGTTTGTCCTGGCGGTGGCTGCAGTGTCTCTCCCCAGCCTTCCGCTTTCCAGAATTCTCCTCTCTCCTTGTCCCACCTACTTCCTGCCTGGCCACCTACTTCCTGCCTGGTCACTAGCCATCAGTGTTTTATTTATATAGAATGATATCCACAGCACCTTCTATTTTCCTCAAAGCTAATTACCAGAATTCCTTTAGCTGTTTCATACACAATGTTTCTGGGTCCAATACCTTTCTACTTCCTCTAAATTGGTAAATTACTCTATCAACATATGGAACCCACAATTAAACTTAACATTGCCTGACTAGTGGAATAAATTATACTCTCTTGTTTTGGAGGTTTGTGGTCTGTTGGATTAGGGGTTTGGAGGGGGGTTCTCCGGTCTTCAACTCTTTTCTGTGCATGCCTTGTCGAAAAGACAGCATCAAGATGGCCCTGCTCACACACTGGCAGTCCACAGCACCCTTAAGGACTTTTCACACTTGGGAAAATGCACTAAGCTATTTTGTGATACTACTGGTATTTTAGCCCAAATAAAAGACCTTTTTTAGTTAAATGTCATGATCCCCTTGTTACCAAGAGAGTGACGCAATAGGCGATCTATATTGGGAGAAGCATTTGTCAGTGTTTACTGGTTTATGTTTTGTTTGGTTTTTAAGTGCCTATCTTAGTATGATACACAGATTGGATCCTCAGTGCAGCTGTAGATATGCGAAGACTTAACACCCATTCACTGCTTTCTGGGTACTGAGAACTGTCTTTAGATTTTTTTTTTTTGATTCTCATATAAAGATTAGGTATCATTATTGCACTTTCAAACAAAGTGTATTTTATATTTCAAAAAAAGCATCTTCTTCTCTACCCTTTTATCCTTCAACTCCCTTGTATATGAGTACCACATTCTCATTGTCCACTATTCTGTTGATAGACATCTAGGCTGGTCCCATTCTTTAGCTGTCATGAGTAGGGCAGCAATAAGCATGTATGTGTACAAGTATCTCTATAGCAAGATATGGAGCCTTTGGGTATGTGCTCAGGAGTGGAATGGCTGGATAACACAGTTCTGCTTTTAATTTCCTGAGAAGCCTCCATATTGATTTCCATGATGGTGGTACTGGTTTGCTTCCCCACCAGCAGTGAATAAGGGTACCCCTTGCCCCTACATTGTTGTCAACATTTGTTGCTATATTTATTGACGATAGCCGTTCTGACTTCGTGAGGTTACTAGAGAAGTTACTCAGAGTAGCTTTAGTTTGTATTTCCCCAACGACAAGGGATGCTGAACACTTTTAAATGTTTTTTACCTTTTGTGCTTCTTTGGAGAACTACCTGTTCATGCCATTAGCTTATTTGTTGGTTGGCAGGGTTGTTTTGTTTTGCTTTGCTTTGCTTTTTGAGGGGAGAGGGGTGTGCTCAATTTTTGAAGTTCACGGAAAACTCTTAGGTAATTTACAGGTTCTGGTTCTCAGCTGCATTTTATAGCATAAAATTTATCATGTAACCTTCTCAATCTCACATAACTACTTAAGGTATGAATCAAATCCCGTATTTTTGGATCACCAGAAAAGGAGTGAGGATTTGATTTGAAACCCACTTTGAGTGGCACAGCCAGGCGTATGAGCTAAAGACGATGACTGACAGGCTGTGGAGGTAAGCTCAGAGAACAGCTATTATGCAGACAAAAGATGCCACCACAAGGCTCTCAGAGCATTTAGGCAAAAAATGGTTTTGCCAGGCAACACAGCAGTAGCAAAGTCCTGAGTTTAGGCTTTCACTCTGCCTGGTGGTTGGGTGCATATAGTCAAGGAAAGCAAAGAAACTAGGGTGACTCCAGTGATTGTGGCCTCAGTGCAGCTAAATGAGGAGTAAGTGGTCACATGATTGTGATAGGCAGATGCTCAGAAACTAGTTAGCAAGTGGATGGGCAGCATGTGTTAAAGTTCTGTCTTAAGACAATTGTGTTACTTCCCTTGGTGAAATATGTCTTCTCTGTTTGTTGTAACCAAAGTCCCTTGAAGACTTTCTAAAAGAAAATGAATTTTCCCAGGATGCAGTTGGGAAGTAGCAATTCCCATTTGTTTCTTTATTTTTCCAAGGCTTTTGAGTCTGTTCTAATATATGTCTAAGAGACAAATCATCAGTGCATGTTTCTAAGGGCATCTCTTCTGTTAAGAGTTTGTTTAAAATGTTTAAGTGCAGAATGGACTAGAACTTGAAGTGGTAACTGTGATGGGTAATACTATTCATCAACTTGACAGGATCTAGAATGAGCTAGGTGGTAAACCTCTGGACATGTCTGTTCAGGAGTTTCTAGGTTAGGTTCATTGAGATTGGAAGACCGACCCATCCTAATTATGGTCATGAGTCTTCTCTCATCCATTAAACCTTTCTTGAGACACACCCAGAGATGTGTTTTCATGGTGATTCTGAATCCAGTCATTTGCCCATAAAGATTAACTATGATGCTTTTACATACAAAAAGAACCATAAAAGAAGATACCAGGTTATAATTTAAGGAACAAGGAGCTTTCCACTTGATAGAAGTACTCATTAGTTGAAAAGATATATAAATGAAAATTTACTGTTGTATGTAGGTCTGAGCAAATTAGGCCGGGGTGGAGGGAAGAGGGGAAAGGGGCCTTAGAATGGATGGATACCCTGGTGAGCATCCACAGGCCATGAAGATCAACCTCACTGAAGCAAGTATGATGAGAACCAGTGAGCATCC